TTCTCACTGGATGTCACATACTTTTGGCCTTGTGTCACATCTAAGCTACACTTAAAAAACAGTTTTTTTAGCCACAATTGCTCTGTTAACGCAATAAATCTCGAATTAGTAGTGCTTTTTAGATGGTTGCTTCATTTTTTTTATTTTACTTTTGGGTTTACTAATAAATAGAAAAAAAAGACATTTACTATGTAACTAAACTAGGAGAATTGGTAGAATTCTTGAATAAAAATGACGTATTTAATAACTTTTTTTTAATTTTACGATTTTACTTTTCTTTTTTATTTGCTTAAGCCATACTGACGCCACAAGTGGGTTTTTAAAGATTTTTAGTCAAATTTGATTAAAATTGTTAAAAATGGGTTGCTTATAAAAACAAAAGAAAAAACATTTTACTTTTAATTTTAAAATATCCGCCCTCTTTGAACAAGATTTTTGTGTGTGTTAATTGTTAATAAATGCCAATTCAATTTAAAACTGGACTATTTTTAATTGTTAATTAGTAAATTTTTTTCTTCTCTGGTAAAGCCAGTACATAAACACAGACTCTCTCTAGAATTTATTTTATTTATTTAGTGTTAAAAAAATTCTGTACCCGAAGGAATCAAACCATGTGACATAGTTTGAATTATTGAGTTTATTTTTATGACTACAGCAAACCAAAATAATTGCATAAAAAAAGAATTTTGAAATGTTAAAATGCTAAAACAGGATAAACAACTATCTCTCTCATTTTTAGTCAGACGCACACAAATTTATTATTTATTTAAAAAGAAACTTTTTATAAGAAACTCATTTTATATAAAAAATTTTAAATTAGTCATTAAACGCGGATTTTACGTGAAAGACTAAATGTAAAAAAAAATATTTTGAATTTTTAAAACTTGGATATTTTTAGATGATTATTTTGTTTTGTAAGTGAGTGTTGGGGAAAAGCTCACAGCTAGTGTACGTGTACATTATACAATATGTGTGTGTGTGAGAGAGAGAGAGAGAGAGTCTGTGTGTGTATGTTAGAATTACCAATTATTACCCTGTGACCCACTGTCAACGTATCCTTGGCCCTAAGTATCGAGTCGAACAATTCACGGCTGATGCTTTAACATAACAAATGACAATTAGGTACATGAGGTTCCTGCAAAAAATATAACAAAATAAAATAAATGAATACCAAACAACAGAAATAAATCTCTTTAAAAAAATGCAAAGAAAAAAAAGTGTGACGTCTGAGCAAGACTCTTAATTTCCCCCTGACTGACTTCTGTGAGCAGTCATCGTTATTTAAGACGACTAACATATGATAAAAATCAAGTGGGTAGACTCTTAGTTTATTAGGCTAGGTTCCCCCTCCCTGTTTTGTTGGGTAACACATGCAGATGTGACGACGACGACTTTGCTTGCTGTTTGTTGGCTTCACTTTCTGCTTGTAGAACTCTTTTCTTTTCTTTTTTTTCTCTCATGCTCCTTTGTACGGTGAGAAACGTTTGGGTCTCCCCGTTTGTGAGAAGACAATAATAAAAAAAGATAGAAATTACGGCATCAACAAAGTAGTTGCAAGTAGCAGTTTTTAAAACGGTCATCAATAATCGGGCAATCAATCAATAAGATTCCGATGGGACTGATTTTTCTGAAAATCAAGGGATAGAATATAAAAAAAAAAAGAGAGAGAGAGAAAGAAGTAAAGGAATGTTTATGGTGGTTGTAAATTAGAATTACAACAAAAAATTATCTTTCGATTGGAAATGCACACCGATCTTTAGGGAGAGGATCAGTGAGACAGTTTGTCGAGTGATTGCCTGTGTCAAGTACAGGAATTTCAATGTGCAGGGAAATGTAGTAAGTGTAATCACATGACCAAATAAATTACAACCTAACTTTAATTAATAATAATGATAATAAAGACTTGCTGTCACTTGATCTTTACTAAAGCTCTTTTTACTGGAAGACTTATTACTACTCGATTGTTGCCTTGCTAGATCAATTACGACTGAGTAAATGAGTTCGATCCTCACTAGGTACTCCATACTGTCGCTTGATAAATCGTTATTACTATTTGTATTTGTGTGGCACTGCACTAAAAAGGTCACTGAATTGAGTGAATTCCAATTAATAGTAATAATAATAGATTGCTCTATTTTTGTTTCGACCGGTAGAATCTCTGCTCAACTAACCGTTCATCCGAAAATTACCGTAAAAACTTCAGTAGTAAAGTAAAAACAGTAAAAACACTCACCAATAATAAGAAAGGCGACAAAAAATACAAAAACAAAACATTATCTCCCTCTCTTTCTCTTCAATATAATTACTATACAACATTCTGTGGACATATATACACAATTATTTCGTGGTATTAGTAGGTGGCACCAAACTACACTTTAGTAAGTAAAAAGCTAAAGTACTACTACAACGGCTTAGTAGCAGACAGCTCAATTGTATTGTATGTACACTAAACATTAACAAGGAGTGGGTGTAAATAAAATTTCCCAATTGTAATGTAGTGTTTGTCATTTTTTTTACCACGAGGGAAATTTTGATTTTTCACTATCCAGAAGTGGACAAGGAACGGTGTGGATTGATCACATGACTGTGTGGAAAAGCTATTAATACTAGTGCGCTGGGAAGAAAGGTTTTAATTCGCGGAGAGAGAGAGAGTGTCGAGTCGAGACAAGGACAAAGTGAAAGCGGGCCGTTCAGTTACTTGATTCATTCATTACGGCAACAATTTTATTACCATTTATTTTGAAGTGTCCAGATTTGAATAGACGGATAAAAAGGAGAACGAAAAGAGAGCTGACCAGTCAAGTGACCATATTCACTTTCTCTTAGAATTCTGGTGAAATCGACTTGTACAGAAACCTCGGTGCTTTTGTTTTTCTTTACTCACTGGTTGTTGATTCGCAGTCTTAAAGACACAAACAAGCTTGAATTCCTGGGTGCGTTTTAAGAACGCTTTCTTTTGCAGATTCCGCTGTCCAAGAAAAATAATTTTGGCAACACAAGAAGACGTAAAAATGCCCAGCTTGAAGTATGATCCACAAGGTAAGACAGGCCACACGTTTTTTTTGTTTTGTTTGTTTTATTTTTATTTTATTTTTTTTTTAATCTTAACTACAACACTGTAAGTCCTGGTGTCAATCAATTAATTTTATCTATCTGTCCATCTCCTGGCACGTCCAGAAGAGACGGGCCTGGTTATTAAATTTATTTATTTAAATTTTGCAGTCTACCCACTGCTATTTCAGAACCTTTGGTTATTTTATTTTCTAACTTGTTTGTTTATTCCAACCTTATCTTTTTTTTGTTTCGAAAAGAGAATCGTTTTTCAACTTAGACTTTATTTAATATTCCGGACTTAGCTATCTCGCTACCTATCTCAATCTGTTCATATCTGTCTACCATTGTCACATCTCTGTGTTTTAAGTTTTATCTTGTTAGATTTTTTTATCCGTTCTTAGTTTTTCATTAGATATTTTCTGGCTACTTATTTACTTTCATTTAATTCATTTAATTCCGTTTGAGCTTTCTGACTGCCCAATGATGATTATTAAATTATTTTGCTTCCATTATTAAAAAGTAAACAAATGCACTTAATTGCATTTTTAGAAAGTCAATGACATATTGAATTTAAAAATATATACTATATATGAATTCTGTCAGTTAATTATTCACTTATTCATTTATTGTTTCACGAGTAAAAAAAGGGTTTCGTTTTTTTTTTGTTTTTTGTTTTTTTTCTCTCAAATTCTATATTTGATCCGTTCATGAATCAAAGCTTTTTTTTTTAAGAAGGTTATAAAAAAAAGACAGACAGCAGCTGACACAACCCGTGTTTTGTATGATTAACACGGATTATTCTTTCTTTTTTTTTTTTTTTTTAGTTTTCTCTTCCTCCGTTAGCTCCCAAATACCCACAATCCAAAGAATCATTTTTTAATAATTATTGTTTCTACTTTTTCTTCGTTTTTTTAGCCAATGAGTGACCATACTTCTAAGTGCACAATTTGCCTTATGTTTTAAATTAATAATTCGAGCTAGAACAAGAGCCGACAATGCAACATTTTTGCTCCTGTGAGGCCACCCAGATGCTTTATAATCATAAATATCCTAATCCCGACCCACACCCTGATAGTGATTTACTGAACCCATACAACGACAACGTCCGTTGTTTGTCAAAAATAAATTGCAGTAAATATGCAACCGCCGGAGCCGATACCCTAGAAAATCCTTTATGAACTTTTTACCTCTAAATCTGTGTTTAGCGCTAAATTGTGGTTTTTTACTTTTCATCCGGTCGTGGTTGGTAGGACATTTCAACATTTCACCTGTATTGCATGTTTCTATATTTCGTTTTTAATTATATTACGGATAATCGTGTAAATAAATAAACAAATGATAATTAAAAAAAATACAATATGCTCTTGCATGTGAGTGAAGAGAAGAGTTTTGTTTTTGTTTTTTGTTTTTTCGGGAAAGAGTTCGTCATGACAACATTATTGTTGAAAAAAAAAACACCAAAAAAAAAACCCAGAAACGTATGTGCATCACTATACAGTACAGGCAGTTCAAACAATTCTTTTTAACACGATAGCAGAGAGAGAGAGAGACGAACACTATGCAGGCAAAGTGATCATCAAATGGTCCGATGATCGCTTAAAGGTGTGAAACTGCCAGTCACCATGCAGTGTCGATTTCTATTGTATCTGCATATGCTTTATCCCCCGCCAGTTTTCTCTCGTAGATATGGTAAATTTGTAACAATAGACAAATATGGATAATTATGTTGGCATCTATCTATCTATCATATCCCAGTTTGTTCACTATCTATCTATCTATCAAAGCCTATTTTCATGTCTAAATATCGACCATCTACCTTATTACGTGGTTTGTTCATGTTCAGTTAATTTGTTATGATCTAAAATACTCGAAACCAAAAACTAATACCCATGATGAACTGTTTCTTTATAAATTTTAAATTGAATATACGTTAATTCTTATGCCGAATGGAAAAACGTAAAAAAAAAAAAACTAGAGAGGCGTTGTCGGTAGAATTCGAACAAATCTCTAATTCTGTTCGTATCTATCTATCTATCTATCTATCTATCTATCTATCTATCTATCTATCTATCTATCTATCTATCTATCTATCTAATCTATCTAAGTCCATCTATCTATCTATCTATCTAAGTCTATTCGCATCTATCTATCTATCTAAGTCTATTCGTATCATATCTATCTAATCTAATCTATCTATCATCTAAGTCTATTCGCATCATCTATCTATCTAAGTCTATTCGCATCATATCTATCTATCTAAGTCTATTCGTATCTATCTATCTATCTAAGTCTATTCGTATCTATCTATCTATCTAAGTCTATTCGTATCTATCTATCTATCTAAGTCTATTCGTATCTATCTATCTATCTAAGTCTATTGTTCTATCTATCTATCTATTCTATCTATCCTCCATCTAAGTCTATTCGCATCTATCTATCTATCTAAGTCTGTTCGTATCTATCTATCTATCCAAGTCTATTCGTATCCATCTATCTATCTAAGTCTGTTCGCATTCATCTATCTATCTAAGTCTGTTCGTATCTATCTATCTATCTAAGTCTGTTCGTATCTATCTAATCTATCTATCTATCTAAGTCTATTCGTATCTATCTATCTATCTATCTATCTAAGTCTGTATCTAAGTCTATTGCATCTATATATTCATCTATCTATCTAAGTCTATTCGTATCTATCTATCTATCTAAGTCTATTCGTATCTATCTATCTATCTAAGTCTATTCGTATCTATCTATCTATCTAAGTCTATTCGTATCTATCTATCTATCTAAGTCTATTCGTATCTATCTATCTATCTAAGTCTGTTCGTATCTATCTATCTATCTAAGTCTGTTCGTATCTATCTATCTATCTAAGTCTGTTCGTATCTATCTCCTCTGTCTGTTCGTATCTATCTCCTCTGTCTGTTCGTATCTATCTCCTCTGTCTGTTCGTATCTATCTCCTCTGTCTGTTCGTATCTATCTCCTCTGTCTGTTCGTATCTATCATCTCTGTCTGATCGTATCTATCTATCTAATTTGGATATCGGTCTTATAATTGCCACTAAGTCAATTTTAAGATCACTGAATAAGAAAAATAAGTTTTGAAATTTAAAAAAATACCTTACTGTTGAAATTGCATGCGATCTCATTAGAAACATTTCATTTTTCCTTTAATATTTGAAGCTGAAGTGAAAATGGTTTGATTTCACCGCCGTAACATTTCCAAAGAATAGCCAAGTGGAAATCTTTCTCGTTAATTCGATATTATCGATTTTACAATCGATTTTTCTACAAAATAATTTCCACCATTAAGTGGAATCGTTTCAAGATTATTCCGAGCCAATTTAGAAAGGAAATGTCTTTTCGTCTGTACGTCTCCCACCCCTCTTGTGACCTGTTCTAACGCTTTTGTCTTGTTAGTGTACATTTTGCACACACACACACAAACAAACTTGCTAGAGAAAAAATACTCAACCTCGGCATTTAATTGTCTCTCCGCATCGATTTTAATGTCAGATACTTTGATACCCAGTTTAACGAACCCTCACTTAAAAAAAATGATGTCATTTTCTTAAGAGTTCATGATAATCAATTAAACAATATCACTAATTTTATTTCCTTTCGTTTTTTTTTTTTAAGTTAGTGCGCGATAATACAACAATATTGTTAAAAAAAATTGTGCTTGTGTAGTAAAAATAATAAACCTGGTATCGGGGGTTTCTGGAAATACTGCTGGTACTACTGGACCTTGAGTTTGTTTTTTTTTTAGTTTTTTTTTTTTTAATTAAATTAAATAAATTTGGAGACGATAATATCCCCTACCTACCTAGTACAAAAAACAAAAGAACTTTATTTCTTCAAAAATGTTTACATTCGTCTTCAAGCATAACTTAAAAAAAAAAAAAAAACTTTTTTAAGAGATTAAATATAAAATATCTTTTCAGTTTCCAAAAGGGTTTTTTTAAATATTTTTAGTGACCGAGAAAAAAAAATTAACATTTTCGAAGCTAAATATAGTTTTTAAAAAGTAAAACCAAGAATTAAAATATTTTTTTTTATTCTTACATTATTTTAATCGTGATGATAATTATTTTTGTACGTTATTGTTTTAATTTTTGCTATAAAAAAATAAAAATTACTATAATTTATTTTTGTTCCTATTTTGCTGTATTTTTTAGAAGTTTTTTTCAGGCGTCATAACGTTCGTTATGTCTCGTAAGTGAAGAATAAAAATCAATAACAAGGAACCCTAGAAGCACGAACGATATCGATCGATTTTAAAAACCCGATCGTTTGTAAAAACCATTTTATTGCGACTGAAAAATATCCAAGAAGAAGCATTTAAAAGTGTCAGAAATAGTAAAATCAGTTTTAAAAAAGTAGAATATGATGAAATAGTAGACTAAAAAAGTCAAAACTAAAAGCATTCCTTCAGGGGTGGGGGGGAGGGAATGGGACGTAAGAAGAACAAAAGACAAAAAAATAGTCACAATCAATGACACTTCTTCCAGTCCACCCACGCATTTGTCTCTTGTAGTGTCAAGTCTGAAAAAAAAAAAGAAATGTTCTTGAATCTAAGAAAAAACAATTTTTTTTTCTCTTGTAATAATCTTCTTTTCTTTATTGTTTGTACTTGATTACCTTAAGTTATTTGTTGTTATTTACTAAAAAGAAGAGTAGCTTAGTTTTCAAACGAGGCCACAGTTTTGGGACAGCCGGCAAGAATCGAACTTACTAATTCTGACCATTAATATTACACAATAAGTCACGCTGTAATATTTAGCAAAGCGGCTATATTGTTGGTTGATGCAAAAAGATCTTCGAAAAAGAATGGATCTTTCCTGTCTCGTTCGATTTCCAGAACAGGAAGGAAACAGATGGAAACATTATGCCATGAGGATCGAAGGATTTTTTTTTTTAATCATTTCAATTTAAAATTAGATAAAAATTGACCAGAGTCGTCAGATCGAATCAAGTTGTCGGAATATTTTTTGTCGCACCTGCATCCAATAGAAATTGTTTTAAAAAAAAAGCTTTATAAGCGAACATATCTCTACACGTGTTTCAAAATTTCATTGATTGGGTGATTTTTTTTTTTTTTTTTAAGGAAAGTGAAAAACTCTTGAAAGTAGTTTACTCAAGCGGCAAAATGCACACCATTCATCATTTTTTTTTTTTTTTTTTTTTGACTATAAATTGAAATCTATGGTGTATAATTTTTCATTGTTTTTAATGAGAGAAGCTAAAAAAAGATAACCGCTGATCTAGCAAGCTCAAGCATAATTTTTCTTTTTTTAAGTTTTTACGATTTCAATGATCAATTTTTCTTTTCGTTTTTCAAAATTCAATAAAAAAAATTAAAAAGTAGCACACGACCTTCTGAAATGAATTTAAAATAAAATGGTCGATATTTATTTTAGAGTAGACATTTATATTTGTTTAATTTTATTCATTTTTTTTTTATTACGTGTCTCTGTTTTAATAAGAGAGAGAACTATTAAACAAAAAAAGATTTTTCCTGGTATTTTTTTCACGTTTTATAGCAATTTTCTATTCTTTTTCTGAAAAAGATTCCGAAGGAACGGATGGTGGCAAAAATCCTTTTTTTTTTTCCCCCCCGTTTTTTACCTAATCTATCATTCGAGAGAATATGACTGAATCTGTTTGCATGTCGGCTCTTTCTCGCTCACTCTCTCTTTGTTATAGTCTTTCTTTTTCACTCATACACACACACATATATACACACACACACACACACACACACACACACACACGAATAGGCGAGCGTGGGTGGTGCATCACGTGCTCCTCGCGTACAATGTGCGCATGTGCATTCGCCTGCAAATCGGCGCCAATCATGGAACTGGATCTCGAAAACATCTCTTTTCATCTTATTTACCAATCTGTCTTCTTTTTTTTATATATACCACATGATTTATATATTTACCACATGTTTACACATTAACAACTATGAACTCTGTGTGTTGAGGGCTGGGGCACTTGTATACAAATCCATTAATACATATTATTTTAATGTCTCACCCTACCAATCTATCTACAGGGCGTTAACCCTTCCCCCCTCCCCCAAACCACCACCCAACCGAAAATGTATACAAACTGTGCACTTTTATTAATACAATATCTATGAAGATATGTCAAAGACAAATTGTCAAATCATTTTGAGTTATTGTAAAGTAGGGAAAGAGAAGAAGGAGGTTTTTCTTTTCCTGTCTTGTCATACTCTCTACCTGTGGGCAGAGAGGAACCCAGATGAGGCTATGCCAAAGGGTAGTCTCGTTTGGGGAGGTAGACACACCCAACCCTGTGTATACAAGGTCTACGGGCAATTTTTACCCAAGCTACAGGATTGAAACACCTCACGTTAAAAACTGATCTTGTGTTGCATCTTGCCTTGTGGGAAGGTTGGTAAATAGGGAGTTATTGCAAATATTAGGACAAACGAATATTTACTGAGAAATACTGTAGACAAAACAAACCAATGGAATTGGATACATTAAAAATCCCTTCATTTGATATTTAGGAACATTTTCTTTTCAATGGCTATGTTCATTTCAGTGATAGGTGCTAATTTTACATAAGCCTTATCTCTGAGGTGTCTCCATATAAAGAATATTCAGGATTTATTCAATGCGACTTTGACATATTTTCCAAGGTTCTTACATCATGACATTCAAGATCATCTTTATTGAGGTCATGCATTAATGCTGAGGAAGCAGACATTATTAAAGGAAATGTACAAATTTCTCAATAGCAATAAGAAAAGGAAAAAGAAAAAAGGACAAGACAATGTAATGCAAGGCAAAGCAATTATAAGACAATAACAAGTTCACAAAATAGAAAATGTTTACAGGCAAAAAGGGATACAGTCAAGTGGTTATAGTCTTCAGACTTCAAGGCAAAATAGAAAAAAAATGTGTGGGCCCAACAAAGTGTTGTCTATTTTTATTGGCTAGGGTGAAATTCCATAGGATTTGTCTATAATTTTTTTTTCTGGGGTGGGGCATTTTTAGCTGTCATTCCCATAGATTGAAACCAACACGTTGACATAAAACTTTTTTCAATAAGCACACTTCAAAATGTGATAGATCCTTGATTTCAAAATGCTTACCTCACAAGCCTTCTTGCTAAATAGCTTTTCTTGGAGACAGATGTTAAAGTTTCAGCCATTTTTTTTCTTTTGTGTAATTTTTGTAGATCTTATAATTTCCTGGAATTATATTTCCAGTTGTTTCGAGGCTGTTCTTTTTGCTTGAAACTTGTCTCTCTCATCTCAATGGTGATTTTTGTTCATGGATCAGAGATTGAAACTCTCCACCTTATCTTCAATGTTCAATTGTGTTCTTACACTTCCGGTAGGACTTTAGGTTAAATTTCTTTTTCTCAAAGATCAGTTTCATTTTATCCATTATCCTAAATCGGTTATATCATTAAAAAAAAAAGAAAATCTGGCATCTCGATCTCACCCTTTCACTGTCGAAATGGTTAAATGTGGCCATCTCTTCTACTCCTATAGATTCACAAAACTGTTGAATATAGCCGTCTCTTCTACTTCAATAGCTTCATGTCTCGCCCCTCCCGTCTGTGGAATTCCCTTCCTATTACTTGTTTCCTTGATAGCTATAATCTCCAACTATTCAAATGTAATGTCAATCGACATCTCCAGATGCCTTGATCTATCCCCTGTCCTTCTCTTCATCCTTTCCTCTATCACGCCTCTTTACTCTCACTTCCACCCTCTGTAACTCCTTGCGTGCTAGTGGCATCCTGCCTTACTTGGGGTGAAATGCTTAGAAAAAAAAAAATTTTGTGAATTATGGGCTGTTGAATTGTGTTTCTATTTTGGAGTTTTCATTGATCTATCCCAGTCAATGCCTTTGTCATTTCCAGTGTAATTTGTTCATAGTAATTAATCTATAATTATGTTCGAGGCTGGTTGGTGGCTGAGGTAGTTGTGCTTTCTCCACCAGTTCTTTGCTTTATTTAAAGGTCATGATCTCTCACACAACCAGTGTCTGCAAAAAATGGCGGTTGATAAACCATAAAAAACCAAATCAGTCAATCAAGTCTCCCCAAGTGGAAAACTGGTGCAATACAATCTTCTATCCCTTTATATTTTGTCTCTAAACATAAGAAATATATAGGATCTATTTTAATCTTTCAATAAATTAATAAATGTTTAATCAACTTTCCTCTTAACCAACTGCAAATTTCTAGTCAGTCAATGATGTGGCAGCAATTTAATGCCTATAGGCATTTAAAGATTGTCATAGTAAACTGCTGAATTTCATTTCATGCATTAGTATAGGAAAGAAAGGTGATTTAAATGACTCTGAATGTAATATTGTTATAGTGGAACACACCTATTCTATAGTTAATAGACTTTCCCACCTATAATAAGTAGTAATAGTAACGAGGGGTAGCAGTCGCTCAGGGAGTTGGGCAGTCAGTCGATGTCGGACGACTGTTAGTCGGATACTCAAAGGTATCAGCGACCATCACTAGATTTCTCTGCGTCATTACCTATTATATCAAGTTTCTAACGTTTTGTACGTCGAACCTATTTTAGGACCGACTTAATACAAATACAAGCCTCCACTGTGAAACTACAACAAATGTGGTCATTGGTGGGAGATGAGAAGGTCTGAGTATTTCAAAATCAGCTGATCCACTAGGATTTTCATGTCCAACCATCTCTTGGATTTACAGTGAATGGTCAGAAAAAGACAACACCATACCAGTGAGCAATAATTCTATGCATGGAAATCATTTGTTGATGAAAGGTGAATAGCCAGACTGGTTCAGACTGATAGAAAGGTTAGAAGAGCGGAAATAATCCTGACTCTTTACAACAGAGGTATACAGAAGACCATTGCTGAGGGTACAACATGAAGTAGTGCCACACCTGTCAGGTAAGAATAAGAAACTGAGCCTACCTAAGGAACACATAACAAAAATATGTTGAAATTTGTGTTTCAACACTACGTTGTACCTCTTCAGGCAATGGTAAGTGACTGGCGATTAAATAATTTTTAAGAAAATTTCAAAAGCAAAGTGTTACCACTTTTCCGAAAAATAAATGTATAGTTGAAAGCGCTCGGATTAAAAGAACATTCAGACAGTTTTTATATAATTTATCATCTGAAAAGAAAAAAAAAAATATTAGATCACATGAGAAATTGTATAAAAAAACTAAATAAAAGCACCTTATCTGTCATTTTCAATGAAATGTGCATGAAAGAAGGATTGCTGCCTAAAACACACACACACACACACACACACACACATATATATATATATATATATATATATATATATATATATAAAATGTCTGTCCAGAAGGTATGCAGCCATTTTGAATGTCATGAACTGTTTATGCAATTTTGATTTCACCCGATACAAATTAGAGAGGACCTAATCACACAGCCGTGAATGCTCTCCAATGAGGTTATTCAGCTAGCAGGTAGTGAGTTAGCACAGAGTGAGCGGATATATCATGTTACTCTCACATTCATAATCACTGAGCAAAATAGATCAGTAAAGTCTTTGTAGATTATTATTATTTGATTATTTATTTAATTTTTTTTTTTTTTTTTTTTTTTTTTGCAACATTTCACCTAACCCTGTCCTGTCAGTCTCTCAACATTTCAGATTAGATTCCCTGTAATTTCTGTTTTGTACAAAAAAAAAATTATTTAAATATACATTGGACAAGATTAAAGAAAATGTGATGAGGCAGCATTGGTGTAATAGATAGTGGCTCGGATTGAGGAATCTGAGAGCCGAGTTTGAATTCCAGTCAAATCCATTGCATTCACTTATATGCTAATACCTTTAGGGAAAGATATGAATCCTCTTCTTCTCCCCCCCCCAGCTAGGGGTAAATAGCAGGACAGACCAGGTTCTATAGCCTGGTCTACTGCAGAAAGAAATGGCAATCTAATGCAGGAAAAAATCTGCCTCGTCAGTCATGTATTGAAAGATACATGATCGCCTAAGCATGTATCACGCATGGCACATAACTGACTGATGAGGCAGTTAATGGTCAACTCAGAAAGGTGACTTTGTATATTGTTTTGAAAAGTAAGAGTGACTTTGATAAGTAAATGAGGTGGATATCGCAGCAGAGCGTAGTTCTTCCATCTGTCATGTTCACCTCACAAGTTGGCTCTGGTCATTCCGGTAGAGTAAACAAAGATGGCCGCCTTTATACATGACGGATACAATGTTCTGCGGCTTCTGATTGGTCAACCTTCTATTGGTAGACTATAAAGGGAATTAAGTCATTTTGACTAACTCACTAGTTATATACATTATATACACAAAAAACCGTAACAAAAAGCCTGTTTCCACACAGTGTCATTCCAAGAACAACTACTTTGTGCAATAGACCCTCACATGAATGCTCCCCTATCAATCATAATCTTCACTTCCTAGTTTCTCTTAAGTTCATATCACATAACGCATTCAGTAATGATCTACCTTGAGTGGCTCTTAGGTTTTGGATTGGTTGAAAATAAATATAAAAAAAAAAATTTTCATGCTTGATAGCATCTTTTGTTTCATTCCTCAACATATGTTTGGTCATTTTTTTTCATCTTTTTTTTTTTCTAA